AAGAGCTGGAACTACCATTCTTCTGGGTTTCTCAAATCGGGATAATCGGAAGCTGATGAACCCGGGGATCAAGACCAAAAAGCTCCCCCCGTTGGCATCTCCAAGGTCAAGTCTGACGTTCCGTAGAGAAAAAAACGTGCTGCCGTAGAAAGGGGGTTGGATCCCAACTTCTGCCACGATTCTCATGTGCAGAAGCTCAGTTTAAGGGATCCCAAGATCTTCTAAGTCATATAAGTCATCAATCTGTTCATTTCACTCCGATTTCTCTGGAAGATTTGCGGTTCAGGGGTTCCAATTCCTTCGTGGGCATCAGAAGTGGAAGTTCGTGGGCCACAATTACGACGATCCAGGGGTGCCGATTGACGAAAATCGCAGGTTTTGCCATGTCATCCCCAACAAAGTGGATGGCTAGAAACTAATCCTTTAGCTTTTTGCTATATGGGTATGGATCAATACCTATTAATACCATTTTTAGTGGGATGAACATCCATTTACCAGCTATTTTGATGTTCACCAGGGGTACAAGGGTTTTGACCGATCCCCATATGGAAAATAACCCCAACCAGCAACAGATTGTTTTGTGGACTGTCAAAGATTGACCATGATGTATCCATGGAGGTTTTTTGTTAAAATTTCCCAAACTGGGTCATATATCATTTGTATAATCTACCCAGAGAAATATGGCAATTGCACCACATGGAAAATGTGGATTAATACGTATACCTATTTTATTAATGGTACCACTAATATCTAATGAATATATACATTTACGCATTAAATATATATATATATACACCGTATATAGTATGTGTGTACGTATAGACTCTGTATAAAAATCCGATTCATCCTAACATTTTGGCTCAGTTCTTACGTTCTATGCCTCCCTGATGGACTTGCGTCCAGCCAGTTCCATATCGCTGATACCATAGCGCTGGGAGCAGATTGTTTATGCTTCCACCGACACCTGGACTCGCTGATGGTAGTGGGGAAAAATACGGATAAAGGGAATGAATAAATATATATATACAGTATACATATATAAACATATATATATATATACACAAAACAAGGTCGGAACTCAAATATCCGCATCTGGACGGATTGTGGCCATGTACTTCTAGATGGAGTTGCCATCCCACCATAGCTGCACAAGTGGCACATGGGGATGTTCTACTGACTGGCTCGGGCCAACATGAATTGTGGAGAAATCTCTTCATCATGGCCAACATTTGACATATTGAATTGAAATTGACTGTTCTTTGTTCAATTGTGTCAAGTTTACTCAGTTTTGCTGCAACCTTTCTCAGACGTGGGTGTGTTGTTTCTAGACCATGGCAATGCCCAGGTAGGTAGGTCCGGTAGGGTAGCCTTGAAATGGGATACTGCTCCGAAGTGACTAATCAATGGTTGTCCAATTGTTTGTCCTGGGTCTTGAAATGTTGAATCCACCAACCAGTATGCAAGTTCAATAAGTTCAATACATTTCTATATATATATATACACCATGTAATATGGTAAAACCAATAACAAACCTCCAAGTCTGGATGGTTTATACCACCCATTTGTATCCATGTGTATCCATGTGTGGCAATATTAGGGATGGTTTATTCTTTGCGTTACCACAAAAAAATCGTGTATCAAGTAGGATTTCAATTACCATTAGAGATCTTCGGCAGCAGTAGCTACCCCGAAATCCAATGGTTGAATCATCCTTCCCCATAGTATAGCGGTTTAATATGGTTTAATGGGCTTCAACCAACAATAGCAGTGATGAATTCATGGGATATTTTAATGGGTAAAAGTGATGTTTTTTCACAAAAACCAGCTATAAGGAATCCCTTCCCCCGTGAAAATGTTGTTGTAGCCCCAAGAAATCATAATAAATCGTAGGATGTCTGCATGGATATGGAACCACATTAACAGTATGGCTGAGACCATACAATCGCGTGTTTCATATGGGGAGTATAGTGACTATGTAGTATTTAGTAATTTTTTACTTGGTTCTACATCGTCTAAGATTCACCGGTGATTAAAACTGTTTAACATCTTAGAAATGTAGGCACTGGAGAGGCCGCTTAGCATACATATATAGATATGTATATATCATATATCCATACATGAAGGGGATTATTCAAATGGATATCCATACATTAGTTAATCTTAGCATGTATAATCATTTATATATAGTATAACATTTTCATATCATAATATCATATATCATACAATGTGGGGCCCCCCAGTGATGTTAGTTGGTTTATAAACCCCAATAACTATAGTTATTTGCGTACCATAAACCATAGTTATTGGAGTTATTTGCACCAACCTAGCTATCTTGGGGGCCCCACATTGTAATATCACATTGTTTATAGCATATTGATATACCAATACAGGCGTTGCCTTCTGCAAAAATATGGGGACAAGCCCAGTGACTTGGTCAGGAAATGGTCGTCCTTCCGCAATCCGAATGATGCTCTCTGCGCCAGCTGTTGCTTGGTGTTTCCGTCATGATGATCATAGGATTTGACGTTGATGTACCCTCTGGTAAACTAACATAACTATGGAAAATCACCATTTTTAATGGGAAAATCCACGATAACTGGCCATGTTCAATAGCTATGTTAAATTACCAGAGGGTATAGGCAAATCGTTGATGAATGTTGATGATTAGTTCGTGAATATATGGGAAATAACCAGTGAATACATATATGATCATTGGCCTATTGGCCCGATGATCATAAGATTTGACTGGTTGATGGGAAATAACCAGTGAATATATATATATATGAACCATATATCAACCAGTGAAATATATAGGGCAATGGTTGATGGGAAATATGGTTATATATGATATCATATAATATTTATAGTTCGTGAATATATGGGAAATCTTTGGTATGGGGAAAGCATGAAAACTTGGGGATATGGTTGTGGGTATAACTGATAAATTATGGTTGGCGGATGATTGGTCCGGGGACGATACTAGCCAATGTACTGGGGATTATCAAAATTCATGATGCGAATTTCTATGAACCAACCAGGATTAGAAGAACCGAGGCTTTTTGAACATTGCTCAAATGTCCAACATTTCTTTTCATGACATGAAAGTAGGTCATTTTTTTATTCTGATATACAGTAGACTTCACATGACACATGTATGGTTTCCATAGTTCATATGGAACCCTTATTTGCCTTGCAGAGCATCCCATTGAGCAAGTGGCACTGTTCTTTTCTGGGGCACATCCTGGAATGCCCCATATCCCATACCCTCTGGTAAACTAACATAGCTATTGAAAATTGCCATAGAAATAGTGGATTTTCCCATCAAAAATGGTGATGTTCCATAGTTATGTAAACGTTTACCAGAGGGTATCCCATATGTTTCCCATAACTAGTATGACTATTGCCACTGTAGTATGACTATTATGTTTCCCATATGTTTCCCATATGTTTCCCATATGTTTCCCATAACTTATCATAACTTATCATGTATCCCGGTATCCCATATGTTTCCCATCAAAAATGGTGATTTTCCCATAAAGATGTTTTGTAGTATGACGATTGCCACTGCTGTAGGAACTGGGGCATAACTTATCACAACTTCTCCCCTGGCGGAGAAAATCCCCGAAGTTCCGAAGGAGCTCTTCATGGACAAAAAAGTGTTCCGGAAGTTCCGCCCCATCGCTATCAGATTGTATATATAATATTAATATATAATATATATAATACATATATATATATAATACATATATATAATACATATATTTATATATAATACATATATACAGTACATATATAATATACATATATTTATATATAATACATGGAGATGAGCAGGGAACAATACCAGCATGAGGATACGACCAACAAGCCACCAACAAGCCACGTCATGGAGAGTTCAGGTATTTGGATGCTACTGCTGCTGTTTTTTTTCGCGTATGTCAGCTTCTGCCTTGCCTCGTTTAGTACCGAACTGCAGCGACCAACAAAGGAAAGTGCCTTGGACAAAAAACGATGAAGTTGGGCCCAATGATAGCGTTGGTGAACAAGACTCCAAAAACTAGGTTGTTATGGTCATTATGACCACAGTCAATGGCTCTTCAAAGTAACTTGTAGCGCAGGTATCACCAACACTGTGTGAATGGCCTTGTTCTCCTTGAAACAGGGAAATCTACTGGGGAAGCCTCCAAACACAGAGTCCAAAAGCCTTTGGAAGGGGCTGTGTCAAAACCATGGATATATTATAGTGTATATAGTATACACTATATATGGTATATTAATATATTAAAAAATGTTTGGATTGACATGTGTTTTTTGCTCCACTCGGGTCATCTTATCATGTCTTGCCCGATTTTGAGGGATAGCAGATGGTGAAATCCACTGAGCGAAAAATCACCTGTTGGATCTGTTAAATGCCTAAGGGTTTGGTCCAAAATCACATGGCAAATGACAAAAGGCTCCAAAATCCAACTTTAAGAGGTTGCATGTGAACCACCTGGCCCTACTTTGATCATAGCTTGAGGTGTTTACAACGAGCGTTTGCAGATGCCTTTGGTAAGACGCTGTGCTGCAAGGAAGGAAGTCGCTGGAAACCCAGCATGCTTTCACTTAGGCATTCAACCATTAAAAGATGGAATGTAGCTACCGGAAGTTGGAATTTAATAGGTATTCAACTACTGCAATAGGATGTGATTTCTATCGTGATTATCATGTAATAATCCTATATTGCTAATTCAACTAATTCAACTCGAAAAGTTGGGATTTTCTCTAAGTCGCTTCCAGTTCCAGAAGCGAAGTGGGTTTTTTCATTTTGACGGTGACGTGGATCAACAGTCAATGGATTGGTCACGGGAAAATGGACCTGGAACCCCCATGATCTTCATGGGAAAACCGATGGTTTCCGGTTTCGATGTTCCCAACGCGCAAAGCCAATCCATTGAGAAGGAGTCAAAAGGATAACCTCCTGGCTGCAGATCGCGCGGACAGATTTGGGTCCAGCATTTTTTGGTCATTTCCGCAGTGATTTTCTGCGCACATGTTCAAAATGTTCGAAGATCTTTGGCATTCTATCATTCTGATATTCATGGCTGCATCCGAAAACGTTTTTTATACCCCCAGTTATAGCAACTACATGAAGGATGTTGGGGATAGCCGATAACTTCAGACAAAGCCATATTATAAACTATATCTCCAATTATTGTGGGGTGATTTTACCCCATTGTATAGGGATTAATAGGGGATAAATCCATTGGATATAGGGGATAAACCCATTGGATAATATACTGGTTGGTGGTTTGGAACATGTTTTATTTTTCCATTCAGTTGGGAATTTCATTTCATCCCAACTGACGAACTCATATTTTTCAGAGGGGTAGGGCTCAACCACCAACCAGCATTGGAGCATTGGATAATACCCTCTGGATATTTAACATAGCCATGGAAGCCATGGCCCATAGAAATAGATGGTTTACCTGGGTTTACCTATTAATAGCATGGTGATGTTCCATGGCGAACTGTTAGCCATAACCAGATGGTATATCAATTTCATCCCACTGACTTTCACTCCATCATTTTTCAGAGGGGTGGGTATACCCCAACCACCAACCAGCATTGGAGCATTGGGATAATATATCAATTATCGTCTCTTTCTTGGCCGAATCTTCGCAGGGCTGGATGTCTGTGAATTGACGGCATTCCACCGTGACTCGGATGCTGTGAAAAAAATTCTGACAGAGAGCTTGGCTGAAGATCAATCTGCCTAGCAATAGAATTGGTTTAATAGAATTCACTGGAATTTACCTGAAAATGGCCATTTATAGTGGGGTTTCCCATTAAACATGGTGATTTTCTATAGTTATGTAAACGTTTACCAGAGGGTAATAGGATTTAATGGGTACAATGATATTTACCGGGTTGAATTTTCGAATTTGTTCATGGATTTCGCGAGATCCATGGGATAAAATTCATGAAATGTACCCTGCAGTGTCATCAAATGTGTCTAGTTGGAAAAGAAACGATACCCTCTGGTAAACTAACATAACTATGGAAAATCACCATTTGTTATAGGTAAATCAACTATAAATGGGCCATTTTCAATAGCTATGTTAAATTACCAGAGGGTAAACGAAAGTGTTCGCGGGAAAAAGGATCCATAAATGGTGGAATTGTCTAGCAAACCATGTTGCCGGAGGGTAGATTGATTGATGATTTGGGGTATTGCAAAGGTCACCCAGTGGGGGTGTCAGAATCTCTATGGCTTTCTAACCATGGGATGATACTGTAGCCCCAGAAATTCGGAGATACTGTAGCCCCTTTTTTACTATGGTTATATAGCCAATCATAAGTGAAGCTGCACCCCCAAGGTAAACCACGTAGGTAAATGTTCATCAACGAAATTGCGCTGGTACGCCGAAGAAGAGAATGGAAATTCAACCGCTGGAACTCCCATTGGGATGAATCTGCCAAAATGGGGCATTTTACGTCATTTTACCAGCGAATAATGGATAAGGTTTGTCTAGAGGTGGAAATGTATCCTAAATCTGTGGTCAGTTCAATAGTAAAACTGGATGGTGGTTTCAAACATGAATTTTATTGTCCATTTCATATATGGGATGTCACCCTTCCCATTGACGAACTCACATTTTTCAAGATGGTTAAAACTACCAACCAGAAAATGATGATGAAGCATCAACAATTGTGTACCTTGTTTTAACCCAAAAGGCTTGTCCACGAGGTTCTTCCAATCTCGTGATGCTAGTGACTGGGTTGTTCCATTTCCGGCGCTTCACAATTGTGAGGAACAGTGAGCTGTGTTTTTATTTGAACTGGGCACATGCTTCCCTTCATCGCCTTCGTCAGCTTAATGAAGCAAAGAGTTCGAGAAGTTTGATATTTGGATCTACCCTCTGGTAATTTAACATAGCTATTGAACATGGCCCATTCATAGTTGATTTACCTATTAAAGATGGTGATTTTCCAGAGCTATGTTAGTTTACCAGAGGGTAAACGCAAATCAGACAGTTTGTGGAAATGGAACGATTCACGATCTTAGCAGTCAACCCGGCGACGGGTCCACAACAGGACCCCCCAAAAAATAGATAGTTTACTTCTCAAAAATGGCCCGAACAATTCTTTGGTTCCCTGAAACAGTGTTTGACCCTTACAACTAGAACTAGTCATGTCCTCATGAGCTTCCATTGGGATAGTCACAAGTAAGGTATTTTCATATACAACTAGAATGACTATCCCAACAACTAGAAATGTCCCACTGGGTTTTAACTGTTCATGTTTTGGAGTATTGGGATAGTCACTGTCGTCCCTGAAAACACTTCGCCAAGGTCAGCTGAACTACTCCCTGTTGGACCATCTGCATCTGGGCCAAAAAAACCTGCGGACTTTGTAGCTGGATTTATCAACTGTGATTGGCAGATCCCCGTAGGTAGCTGGAAAATCCCCAAATCCAATATGCGGTATATTGTATAATAATATATATATATATAGCTGTAATAATATATATGTTCAAAATATGTGCTATATTTTCATCATTTTCAACACCAAAATCCCCAAATCCAATATATTCATGGGAAAATCACCGAACTAAATGGTGGATTTTCTCGCCAACCATGTTTGATGACCGGAGGGTACAGCTGCAAAGGTGATCTTTGGTATTCATCCACCTTCGTTGCTATTCCATAATGTCTGTTGGCTACTGTACCGCGACCATGTTCTTTGGTTGGAACCTCATTGAAAAAGCAAAACTTGAATCTCTAGACTATAAATATATATATATATGTATTGAATGATATAGATATAGATATAGATATACATATATTTAAATTATATTACATTATATTCTATGCTTATATTATATCAGATCATATCATATTAGATTATATTAGATTAGATCATATTATATCATATCATTTCATATTATTGTACATATACTGGTAATTCCATTAACTTTCTTTGTTTACCCGTCAAGCTTTTGTTGGTTCCATGTTCCAGCAACCCCCAGAAAAGACTGGTCTAATCAGGTCACAATTCTATTTGTTTACTCAAAAAACGTAGGAGTTTTGACTTCAACTTCTCTCTCTTGGGAGTCCCGAAATAGCCAAATCATATCCCCCAACAACAATCGCTCCATCTCCCTCGAGGTTGATGGAGCGTGAGCTGGAATTTCTGCTGCCCAACGGCACGGAGCCAGTTTTGTTCTGTGACAGTGAAATCAGGAGGCTTTTTGCCCAAAGAGACATAGACTGGTTGGTGGTTTATTTTCCATTTCATATATGGGATGTCATCCGAAACCCATTGACGAACTCCGTCATTTTTCAAGATGGTTACATGTTAAAACCACCAACCAGATTGGAGTTTTGACTGATGAAACATGTGCGGAGCCCATTTTTTGACCAGGAAATATGAGAAAGAAACGAAATGTCGCCAATCCAAGAAGAAGATACGATGTCACTACGATGTGCCTTGATCAACCATTGACTTTTCCCACCACAACCATCACCGCTGGAGGGTGACATATGTCCGATTGTTGTCCTGTTGAAGTCATTTTGAAGTAGGAGATCTGGCGACGTGATGTGCTGAACCGGAGCGACATGGAATTTGTGTCTCGAGCAGCAATTCAGCTTACAAAAAAAGGAGATCATTGAAGTAAATTTCCAATTCAGAGTGGTTCGGATCAACAACTGCTAAAAATGGTTTCTGACGCGTGGTGAAAAAAAAAAAGATATAAAAAACCTAGGGATCATTTGTTGCCCCCATTGATGACGTCATATTTTTCAGCATCTCCAACAAGTCGGATATGTGGGATGAAAAAATCGGCAGGGCTGCCCTGGTTGGTGATTTCACCCCATGGTATAAAAACGGGATTAATATAGAGGATAAAATCATTGGATATAGGGGATAAATTCATTGGATAATATACTGGTTGGTGGTGACTGGAACCATGGAATTTGATATATGACTTTCCAGAAACAGTTGGGAATAATACTCCCATTTGACTAGTATTTTTCAGAGGGGTAGGTCAACCACCAACCAGATCAGCTTTGTGATTTTTCAAACGATCCAGACACCATCGGACTCATGTCAGGTTTAAACCACCAAAGTTTTTTTATGTTTCCATCACGAGTCTCGTAATCCCTTCCCCTTCTCAAATGCCTCCCACATGAAACCCTGGTATTGGCTCTACCCTCTGGTAATTTAACATAGCTATAGAAAATCACCATTTTCAATGGGAAAATCAACTAGAAATGGCCTTTTTCAATAGCTATGTTAGTTTACCAGAGGCTCTATGAGTTGTGGGCCCAAAAAAGGATCTGTCGACATGTTTGTCTCGCAACTGCATCAAAGTTTCTGGTTGATCCCAATGCGTCCCATTGAAAAAAATGGCCAGAAGTGGAGGGGGTATACCCCATTTTCAGGCACATCAATTGAACATAATTCTTGGTTACATATCCCTTGATATCTCCATTCAATACATTTAAATACCCATTACAGTATATCATGATATTCCCATAGCTAGCTAGTTAGATTCTTTTTTTCAGACCCATATCCTTGTAGGATGTATATAGATTCTATCATGTTCTCCATGATGTCCCTATGGAATCACCAAATGCGATGGGCATTTTGGGTAGCGATTTTCAGGCTTCTCTCGGAGTCTCGACTCCTCAAGGTCCATGTCGACGCCATGAGCTGCCTGCAAGTGCCTTCCATGCAGGTGGTACCGCAGGACCGCCGAGAGGGGCGGGACGGTACCGCAGGACTTCTATGGTGGTTGAATTCATCAGCGGAAAATCATGAAGGTGGTGACGAACTGCTGGTTGGTGGTGATTTCACCCCATGGTATAAAAACGGGATTAATTAATAGGGGATAAACCCATTGGATAATATACTGGTTGGTGGTGACTGGAACCATGGAATTTGATATATGACTTTCCAGAAACAGTTGGGAATGGAATTTCATCATCCCAACTTTTACGAAGTCCATCATTTTTCAGAGGGCTAGGGCGAAAAACCACCAACCAGCGATGGCTTTGCAGATTCACTGGGTTGGAACCGGTTGGAGCCACATTCTGTGCGTCCGCCAGGAAAGCATCCTGCCATACCACCGCTGGTTCTTACGCTTGCAGGTGCGGGGGGGGGAAATACCCAAACTAAGTCGCAGGTTTTTCATCGAGAAATATCACGGAAATCATGAGAAAGCCATGGTATTTTGGGGTCAAAGATGGGTTACTGCACCCCATCACCAAAGCCATGTCCCCCATCCCGAGGTTCTGACAAATGAACTCCTGATATGGATAGGTCCGAAAGCTTGGGAAAGCCAATGAACAATAGAAACAGTTGCCAAGAATTCCCTACAGCTTTTGGGGGTTTACTAGATGTAGTGATTGTCCTTGTACTGTGCCATGCTTATCATGGCGCCACCGCCTGGCAGGGGCCGATCCATCCAAAGCTGCAACGCCAGAACTACAGCTATGTCACCTGAACTCTTCACCTGTTGCGATTGCTGGGGGGTTTTCCTCGATCCCCCGGGATGGCATATTCTGACCCGGGCTGTCAGATGTATTGTCAGCACCGATATCAGATATTTGGTTATGGGAGTTATGGGTCAAAACCCCTGGTAGCCCGGTTTTCACGCCAACAGAGCAGTTGTTGTAGATGTATGAGGATGTTCATCACCCAAAATACGGTGTTTCGTAGGTCGTGTTTATTCGTTCCTACAGAAAATGATGGGCCCTTGCATCTCAAGCTAGCTGCAGCCCCATCAAGCTACTCCCAGGCACATCATTGGACCATTGACCCTTCCCCAGTCATCGTTTATCCACCTTCATCCCCAGTTTTTTGTTGGTTGATGTTGGTTGATATTCTTCAAAAGTGGCTAATACTTCCTATTAATCCACATGTTGTTGGTTGACATTTCAAGATGTGAAAATAAATTGGTAGCTACCATTTGGTTATTTAACAGTTCGCCATGGAAAATCACCATGCTATTAATAGGTAAACCATCTATTTCTATGGGTCATCTATACCATGGCTATGTTGAATAACCAGGTTGGGTAATAGCCATATCTACCTCCACCAGCCTGGCTGGAGCGGTAGGGGGAATCAATCCACCAGTCAAGGATCAATCCTTGGGTTACCATCCCCAATGGCTGAGTTGGGTTACCATCTTTTTTCAAAAATGCCTGGTGATTATAATCCATTATAATCCATAAATGAGTTGGCTGAGTTGGGATTTTCCATTATAATCCATCCCCAATATGGGAGTCTCCTGAAATGGGGGTACCCCAATATATAGCTGGATGGATTATTTCATGGAAAATCCCATTGAAATGGATTATTTAGGGGTACCCCCATTTATATCTAAATACTGGTTGGTGGTTTGGAACATGTTTTATTTCGCCATAATATATGGGATAATCCTTCCCATTGACTTTCATATTTTTCAAGAGGGGTTAAGTCACCACCAACCAGTAAATATGATTGACGTGATATTTACTCACTTGTCATAAATCCTACAGGATGGGGCCCCCAAGATAGCTAAGTTGGTTTATAAGTAGCATAAGTGGCTGAATTCAATGGTTTATGGCAGATATAACTATCGTTAATGGGGATTATTTCATGAATCCCAATTCTTTTCGTCAGAAGACCATCACATAAAGCCCAGGTGAGTGGTCTCTTCATTCGCCCATCCTTGGCTAACGCCAGCCATCCTGTGTCCATACGCCAGGCGATTTTTGGGCCCGCAGGTGACCTCACAGATGATGTCCTTAAATTGCCTGCTTGGGGAAGGTGGTTGGTGGTTTCACCCCATGGTATAATAGGGATTAATATAGGGGAAAAAATCATTGGATATAGGGGATAAACCCATTGGATAATATACCGGTTGGTGATCCCAACTGACTTTCAGTCCATCATTTTTCAGAGGGCTAGGGCGAAAAACCACCAACCAGTTGTAATGTTCCCAGATATGATTGTGAATATCTGACGAATCTTTGGAATACTTTCTCAATGAACCAGAACTCAAGAATACTAAAGATTTAAGTCGGATCTCTACTTGCTGTAGTTCACATGGACCAAGATGACTACCGGGTAGGCTGCTATGGGTCTATCTCCCCAGGTCTTTCTTTGACCACCCAGTGTTGGTGATTTATCCCAGGATATCCACATGATATTCCCACATCTTCAAATCCATACTGGCTGGTTTTTGGATTTTTTATCATGGCTTAGGAAAATCCTCAGTGTTGAGGATGGCCCAGTCGAAATAGTGAGTTTTCCCATTAATAGCATGGTGATTTTCCAAAGCAAAATGTTAGTTTACCAGAGGGTATATACCCCAATGTTTCACATGTAGTGTCAACCCTGGATGAATAAACCCCAAACGTTTGTTTTATTGGGAGGGTACCATTTCAGTATTGGATTATGACTATTTGGAGGAGTACCCCCCTAATCAATAAACCATGGAGTATTAAGATTCCTCCAATCCTTGAGAAAGTGACAAGTTGACCTCAGCTCCGCCAGCCGTACATTGGGCATCATTGGGCTGGGCTGACGGTAGGAAAAACCTCAGTTAGTAGTATCCCCCAATCATCCACCAAGCATCATTTATCAGTTATATCCACAAACATGTCGCAAAAAAAAGTGTTCATGTTCTTTTCCCAGTATATCAATGATATTTTTCATCAACGCCAGGGGTGTCTATCGCAGCCACTGCTGAGTTCCCAATATATTCACCTGTCAAATCCGCGCTGATCGCTGGAGGAAAGCTTCCTCAAAGTCTTGACGCCCTTCACCGCCAAGGCGAGGACTAAACTGGCTGCGATCAGCAGTGGCTGCGATAGACACCCCTGGCAGGGTTGATGAAAAATATCATTGATATACTGGGAAAACCTTCTGAAAACTTGGGGATATGTTTGTGGATACTGATAAATGATGGTTGATGATTTAATTGTACGGGATCATACTACCCAACAAAAATTGGGGATGGTCACAACAATTCGAATCCCGTTCGAAAAAACCATTTGAAGATGCAAGATGTTGGAAGATCTTGGAAACAGACTCCAAGTCCTAGGATTCTCAGGTCTTGTTTTTGCTGCAAAGCCTTCAAAGGGACCGGGGAATTGGGAAGAAACCGTGTTTTGCGCCTTCAGTTTGGCGCAAAAAAATGTGTACCCTCTGGTAAACTAACATAACTATGGAAAATCACCATTTTTAATGGGAAAATCCACTATAAATAGCCATTTTCAATAGCTATGTTAAATTACCAGAGGGTATCATTTCTGAATGGTCAGATGAGCGATACTAAAACCTACTAAAACCAGGCTCAGTGGGAAGTATGGGCCCAGTGCAAGGTCGGATATGTTGCAGAAAAATGTCACGAAAGAGGCACCAGTGCACCATGTTTATCCGTGTTTGACATGAAGAATCTGCCAATTGCGCGAAAATGACGATCACTTACAATTTACCTACCTTTAGTGGTTTTCCACCTTTAGTGGCCATTTTCCAGCCGTCACAAACGACGGTTTTCCCTTCCATCAGTTTCAGTATGGCATGGTTCTCATTCGCACTGTTGTCAATCACCTCATTTTCTCATAGTTTCTCAACGTGTTGTCTTTCAAAATCTCATAAATCTCATAACCATCCCAACTTAATTTCTCAAATGTCCCACTATTGCTTCTGATTGATGCTGTGTTTGTTGATTATGTGACGCGGGTAAACCAAAAATTGTGTAGTTGTCTTTTTCCAAAAAAGTGAATCAACAAAAACATAGATATCACCCCACAACGTTCGCCGTTTTGCATGGACAAAAATCTTGGACATCATCCCTGACCATTCACGACTATTCACCACTCTTCACCACTTTTTGTGGGGCATCCACCGATTAATGATTAATCATGATTGTCTCCATGAAATGGCTATAACTGGGGGGAATTCCCCCATTCTCAAACAAGCCCAAATCCATCATTCATTGGTTAAATCATGTTAAATCATGTGAAATCTCTAGTATTCTCTAGTTATATCATTTCATATCGATGGTGCTTGGGTTGTATCCTCCAGTTGGTTACATCCCCAGTCTCTCTTGGGTTTTACAAAGTGAGCCCCGCCAGTGATGTTTGTTGGTTTATAAACCCATGAATGTCATGCATACTGTTTTTGTTATTATCCATAGCCATAGACCATCATAGACCCAAACGTGAAATTGGAGAAAAACTGGTTCACCAACTTAGCTATCAACAGTCAGCTAATGTCAGCTATCAATCTCATGAATTCCCATGTTCCTTGGTGAAGGCACCATGTTCCGATGCTTTTTCTATGGCTTGTCCTAGTTTTCCCAACAAAATTCCGGCACCGTTTTTCCTATATGGTTTTCCCATGGTTTTCCTATGGTCTTCCTATGGTTTTCCCATGGTTTTCCCATGGTTTTCCGGTTTTCCCATGGTTTTCCTATGGTTTTCCTACGGTTTTCCCATGGTTTTCCTATGTTTTCCTGTGTAGAAAAAACGCCCAGAACCGCACCGCCATCCTCCGGGCGGTGGTCTCCTTGGACCGCTGGAGCGATTCGCTGGGCGGGCGCCTCGGAGCGCCCTATGCAGATACCTTCTACTTGGATGACGCTTGGGGCGCCTGCACCCCCCAATTTGGTTACCCGGCCTGGTAAACTATAGGGGATAAACCGATAAACCCATTGGATCATAGGGATTAATAGGGGATAAACCCATTGGATCATAGGGATTCATAGAGGATAAAGCCATTGGATCATAGGGATTCATAGGGAATAAACCCATTGGATATAGGGGATAAACCCATTGGATAGTATACTGGTTGGTGGTTTGGAACCATGGTGTCATCATCCCAACTGACGAAGTCATATTTTTCAGAGGGGTAGGTATACCACCAACCAGTTATTGTTGGTTTAGAAAGCCATGGGTTTTGGAGTTTTGGAAAATCGAAACTGGAAACCCATCAGTTTTTACCATTACCCTCTGGTAAACTAACAGTTTGCGAACTGGGAAATCACCATCTTTAATGGGTAAATCAACTATTTCTACGACCATTTTCAATAGCTATGTTAAATTACTAGAGGGTATTGTTGGTTTAGATTCAGCCCTGCAAAACTAGTTCGTTCATGTTCGTTATATCCACCATAAACCAGAGTTTAACTACTAGTTTTGCAAATGGGCACCCTAATTTGTTAACAGTTTGCTCTTGAAAATGACCATTTATGGACCCATGATGCCATGGCCAGGTGGGTAAACCCATGGGTTTCCCTGGGCCCAGGGTGGTATATGGAGGTGTCCATAAATGGGTACCCCAATAGCTGGATTGTTTATGATGGAAAATACCATTGAAATGGACGACGATCTAATTTGGTTGATAATTCATTGATATTGATTTTTGGAAACCATGATACTAAGCAATATAATGGAAAATGTCACAGAAAAGGGGGAATTCCTGTTCTCAACTGACATTCCTATAAGGGATAAGACATGGTTTTGAACACTGCTTAGATGTAACTTGGGGAAACCCATGGGTAGACCTTGGGAATCCCCCAGAATGGGGGAAACCTCCATATGGACGATCCGCAAACAATGTGAATCCTCAAGATATTGAAAGCTTTCTGATTGCACAATCATATAATATCTGGTTATTCAACATAGCCATGGAAAATCACCATGTTTAATAGGTAAACCATCTATAAATGGGCCATTTTCCATGGCTATGTTAAATAACCAGAGGGTAATATCATATATCTGGGTAAATTATAACGACCCCAAGGCTAATCATGATTAGTAAGGAAAATCATCCCAAATGGCCCAACAATTCAGGTTAGTGAAATATTATTATTTACCCAGATATATAGTCGTATATCCTTCATATCAATGATATGTATGGTTTCCATGCCAGTCATGACTCTCCCACGCCAGCTGAAGAGCTGAGGACAGTCGCATCGTGCCTGAAGCCGCTGAGGAAACTACTCCGGTAGATGTCCCCTGACCCGGTCAGATGTAGATTGTTCATGACACAGTTCCTTGACCCTGCAGTTGTTTTTTGTCTTTCTGTATACAGAAATATATATATATATACATACATAGATCTCTAGATATATATATATATATAAAGAAATATGTGTATATATATATATATGCAGATATATTGGCATTTATATGTCGATATATTGACATGTAGATATAGACATAGATATATCGATACGTAGATATCGATATGTAGGTATTGATATGTATGTGTATATGTAAGTGTGTATATATGTATGTGTATATGTATGTGTATATGCATGTGTATATGTATGTGTATATGTATGTGTATATGTATGTGTATATGTATGTGTATATGTATGTGTATTTGTATGTAATGTAATGTAATTTAATGTAATGTAATTCAATGTAATGTAATGTAATGTAATGTAAAATCTGTGTGTACGTGCATAGATATCTAGGTAGAGATATAGATCTATCGATATAGATAAATATAGATACGTATAGATATGATATACATATAGATGGATGTATAGTACGTATAGTATGTGGTGATATACACGCACCCAAAAAAGTGATGCAAAACACATACTAAAGCGATATGGTTTTCCTCAGTAAATGTGAAACAATTCGTAGGGGATATTCCTCGCGGAATGGTCAAATTTGGTGCATCCTCACCAGTGCAGCCACTATTTTCTGACGGTAGGGCCCCCGTAGCAGGGACGATCTTCCATCATGAAAAAACTGATGATACCCCACAGAAAATAGACTTGCCGAGATTTTTGTGACAAGACTTACAGTGACTTACAGCTGATGCTGCGGCACTTTGAATCGCCCGGCCGGCCAGATCTGTGCGAACATCAAAAAACGTGAAGAGCACTCCAAAATTGAAAAAAACGAAACATCCATTTTTTGGTGATATGTTTCTCAAGACAAAAATTGACCCATCATTTCGTGGTCATTCCATTCCATCTGAATTTTGCCATTCACGAGGTCATGCCACAGCTGGGAAATCGACTCAAGATTGTACCTTGGACGTGGCTTATGAAACACTTCATCCAGGTCTTCAGCTTGCGAACAGGATTGGTCCTGCAAGGATTAGTGAATTTGCTCCAGTTAGTTAGGGTATGTTGGGGTGCCCAAAATCTACCAAGATGAAGTCTTTCGCTGGTAGAAAGCATGGTACGGAGCTGGAATGATTGTTGAGCCCCAAAGATTGGAGCATGGCCAATATTGGGGTCCAAGTCTGTGGTTTCATTTGCATACTTTGGCACCCTATATCGTAGAGAACACTAAGTTTCCAAGTCATGGGGGTTTCCGATCCATCATGGGGGATACTCCAAGCTCGCTGGATGGTTGATTTCATGGAAAATCCTAGATGGATGAGTTGGTACCCCCATGACTTAGGAAACCTCCATATGACTCTTAGGTGTTTTCTCCTTTGAAAAAATGCGTTGCGATAGATTGAGGGTTTGAGAAGTTTGACGGTTCAGGGAATGTAG